GCATTTTGAAAGGATTCCAGTTTTTCTCTTTATTTCCTGAATTTAAAAAGGAAGGAAGAAGCAAGGGAAGTCTATAAATTGAGGCCAGTGTTGGAAAATCCCATGAGGGGGGTTGGCAACTGCATGATAAAAGCCTCATCTAGAAGCTGGCTAGGTATCCACTCCAACAGTGCAAAATCCCTTTGCTTTCAAAGTAAGGGTGACAGGTCTGTGCTGATAACATTGCAAAGGTTATTGAGGGTTCATTTTTTTAAAAGGAAGGAAGGAAAACCAGAGCTCTTATGGTACCATCCTATCTATGCTTGTGCAAAAGGAAAGCCCCCACTCAGTTCAATCATACTTCCTCTCAGTTAAGTGTATAGATCACTGCCTTACAATACACCTGCAGTGTTCCACATATGATAGACTCCTTGCTGGGCACAGAGCTCTATGTGTGCAAACCAATACATGAGGTGTGTGACACATGTACAGCTTCTAGGTCCAGGGCTGACAGAAGACACTTTGTTGCCTGAGTTGATGGATGAAATGGCATCTCCTCCTATTCCATATATCAAAGCTAACCAAATTGCCCACTTCGAATCTTGCTTCAACAATGGCAAAGGAAAGTGCCTTCCACTGTGCTAGACAGCAGTGAGATAACGTAGGGGATAGCATGGCCCACAGAGCTTAATTACCAGGCCATTGCTTCCTGCCTCCTAGCACCTGGCTACTGCAGTAGGGCCAGGTGTGATCCAAACGCTGCATATTCTGCATACAGAATTAATCCTTCAAAGAACTGGCGGTCTATTTGATGACCATGGCAGAAATTACTATTGCTCTTTATACTGGGTTGAGGAGATACCTCTGTAGTAGAATAGATCCACAGAGCATGATTGTTGGGGTGTTGCAAGATGCGGGTGCTATTGCAGCAGCATCCTGCTTCACTCACTGCATGTCACAGGGGTGAGACTGCTTCCCATTGTGCCAAAATAGCAATTCAATTCAATTCAATTCAATTCAATTCAATTCAATTCAATTCAATTTGAGCACTTCACCAGATTCTGATTTGGCTTAAAAAATATGCCAACAATAAAATGGCTGTTTTGTGTGTTGCATTTTGGCTGTTTGAGAGAGGCTTTGGGCTCCCACTCTACTGAAACTTGAAATGACAAGCCTGTACATAATCCCCAAACAATTTCCTTAGAACAATCTGCAGTCAATAATTGGGTGCTCAAACCACCCACATATTTCCCAGTTATTATTATTCCAGGGGACCCCTCTTTCCACCACCCAAAGCCTCTTCTTCCTGCTGTGATCTATGCTTTCAGCCACCTACCTCCAAACTATACCTAGTAAACTACTCTACAAGTTTACTCAGATGTAAGTCCCATTGAGTTTGATCAAAGAGACTCCAAAGTAAGTCTATGAAGAACTCTTTGGAATGGAACCTAATTTTTAAAATTTCTGTAGACAAGTAAACTCTTTGGTGTGGTAGCACCTGAAATTTTGTGTTCAGTTCTGGTTACCTTGACATGAAAAAGGGCATTATGGAGTTGAAAAAAGTACAGAGAAGGATAATAAAAATGATCAGGGGGATTCTGCTGCTTTCCTACCAGGACCAGCACAAGCACTGGGACTGTTCAAATTAGAAAAGAAGTGATTAAGGGAAGACATGATAGAGGTGCTTAAAATAATTCATGAAGAAAGTTGAGAGAGAGAGAGATTTTTTTTCCTCTCTCACACAACACTCAAACCTGGAGTTATCCCATGAAGCTGCCTGGGGGAAGGTTTAGGATAGAGAAAAGGAAGTTCTTCTCACAGTGTGTAGTTAAACTATGGAATTTGCTGCCACAAGAAGTGGTGATGGCTGACTATTCAGATGGCCTTGAAAAGGAATTGGTCAGATTAATTAGGGAGGAGGCTATCAGTGGCTACTAGCCTTGCAGGCTGTGGGCTACCCCCTTTATCAAAGGTAGCATGCCTGCAAATATCAGTTGCTGAGGATCTTGGGTAGGAGGAGGTGCTTGTAGAATTCTGGGAGCAGCTGGTTTGCCACCATATGTACAGAGTGCTGGACTAGATCTTTGGTCTGATCCAGCCTGGCTTTTCTTCTTAAGTCTGCCAGTATATAGGTTGAAGAAAGAGCCTGGATGGACCAATGCTGCGGAATGGGGCAGCACAAATGCATCTCTTTATTTAAAATATTTTACTGTGCCTTTCAATATAAAAATCCCAAGGTGGTATAATACAAATTTCAAAACCAACTATAAAAGAAAAATCAAAACAAATAGTAACATTTTCCAACAGTGGCTAAACCCTCAGGAAGCATTTAACATCACAAAACCACTAAAAGCCAATTAAAACCCCAGGAGAACGTATTTATTTTTTATTCAGCTGCTAAAAGCCATCACATTTGGAATGAGACAAGCTGATAAGAGTCCTATAACACATGATACTACTGAAAAGTCTCTTTCTGTGATTGCTACATGACTGAGCCCTTTATGTATGACCTACATTTCGATAACACATTGACCATGTTTGCACTCCATGTGAAGCCATCTTGTTAATAACCAGTGGTGGGTTGGTTGTTCACAGAACAATCCATGCTGCATCCAAAAGACAATTGGGTTAACCACCAGATGTTGCCCCATCCTCATCCCCAGTTCTCCAGCCTCTGTTCCAGGGGACTTGGTAGCTAAAGCCGCCTTGCCTCCTCTCCCCATGGCAATCATGAGTTCTTTTTCACTTGGCACAGTTCCCCTGCCCATTCACTCCCCCCCCCCCAGGAAATCACTCTAAATCTCTAAAATGACAGCCCGTGATGGCCCATGCAAGGTACCAAAAAGATACGTTGGAGAGATTGCCCCTACTTCATCACACCTTTTCTAATTATTTGTGCAATGTTCTCATCTTTCTTAAAAATTGTCTGACCCTGGTCCCAAGCTAAGGTGGCCTTCACCTGTTAAAAAGCTGCCAGTCCACTAGTGAAGCAATTTTTTTTGGCCACCCCATTCAGGCTGCCTGTCCTATAACAATCAGTCTTCATTGTGCCTGCTACCTGCCCACCTCCAAACTACCAGTTCTAACAGCTTTTTAAAACTAATTGGGGTTGCTTGTGCACATGGGCTAACCCCAGTGCAACATCCTCGCCACAGCATTGCTTCAGTGTGAAAATGAGACTTAAGTTTCCTTAAACAGATCACTGTTGCTCTGGAGAAAAAACTAGATAATTTACTGTAGAGCCACATCAGGTCCTTGCTCTTGATGACATGTGGCTACCGCTGATGATCAAGACAGCACAGCAAAATCAATCCAGGCAGCTCTGCTTGCATCCCTGGAGCATCCTTTGAAGAAGAAGCCTTGCCAAGATACCCTCTCCAGGAGCTGGCAAGGCTCAGAAACACCCCCACAAGACCAGATTCTCTCTGAGGCACCCAGAGCCCAATATGGCTCCTAGCTTTCATACCTAAACAGGGGATGAGCCATCTGCCACTATAATTATGTCACCACACTTGTTTTTGTCTTGGCAGTCACTCCCCAGCGTCTTCTGCATGACATTCCAGAGGCTCCTTGTATTTTAAGCTCACAGCACCCCTACATATATATTTCCTTCTTCTTTTCCACTAGAGTGCATCTAGAAATAAGCCATTTTGAATTCTAGAAATGATGTGGTTCTTTGGCTCTCTACCATGTCACGCTTGTAAATTTTCTTTTTGATGTAATTTTGTGCCAGACTTCTCAGATTCGCACACTGCACTGTTAGAGCATGTACTGCCAATGTGACTGCCACGGCTGGCTTGTGATATTTGGAAGTATGAGAGTGGAAAACATAAATGACAGATTTCGCTGCTGCCTTCCACATTCCACTAGCACAGGGCACTATTTATACATTAATAAATTTATTATTTAGCCCAAAGTGATACACATGACCTTCCTTCTCCCCACAGAATCCTCAAAACAATCCTGTGAGGTAGTTTAGGCTGGGTGTCAGTGACTGACCCAAAGTCACCCAGCGAACTTCATGGCCAGACCCCTTGAGTCGCAGTCCAGCAGTCTAACCACTATGCCACACTGGCTCCACCTCAATTCATTAGGAAGTTCTCCTGCACAAGCCCCACTGAAATTTACATAACGGCAATCCTTTGAACTTTTATAAATACACATACAGAGCAGGTGAGAAGCAACCAGATGAACAAGTGCTAGACTTAGAAAAGCGTGAGATGAAGAAGAGGAGGAGGAGGAAAGGCTCACACCCCACACACGGTGCTTGATGGAGCAACATAAGTAGAAAAGACTGGTTTCTGCTCCAAGGAGTTTACAATTTCAGCCACCACTACCAATACTTGGGGAACCACCTGCAGCTGAGAATTGGGGTGTGGGGCAGGGTGACCAAAGGAAGTTCAGACCCAGTCTGTGCGAGATCCGTGGATAGCTACTTTCCTCCCCATGCGCGTGCAATCAAGTTATCTGATTCCCCTTCGTGATCGAGCACACCACACTATGGTTCACCAGGCCACTCGCAACCCGCATTTGGAAGACTTCCAAACCGACAAACTGGGTTGGCATCGCATTATTTAGGTGACCCCATTCCTGCTATGATACGCCTGAAGCGATCCGCGCAGTCCCGCGCTTAGTCCCTCGTTAAGGCAAGGCTTCCCCAGGACGCTTTCTCTGAAGCATCCAGCGCGACCACGATAATAGAAATAGGATGCGGGAATGGATGGACCATTCCATTGACGCCACAGGGCCGGCGCGCTGTAAGTTACTTGGGGGCGAGAAGGAAAAGAAAAAGAAGAAAAGCACGCGCGCGCGCGCGCGCGTGCACGCACACACACAACACACACGCCCAGCTTCTGTCCCCGAAAACAGTTGGACTCCTGCTGTTGCTGAGCTTTGCCGCCTCTGCTTCTTCCTCTTCCTTAGATACCAAGTTACCAACGCTAAACCAATCGAGAGCTCTATTTCCCCTCCCTTCCACTCTCCGGTTAATCTCGCTCCTTCCTCTCTCCCTCCAGCTCAGTCATGACGCTCCAGCGGCTCTGGCATCTTCTTTCCTGCTGTTCCCTGCTCCTGCTGGCCGGTAAGTGTCCAGTGGTGGTCCATGCCACCCTCTGGCTGATGCTTTCCAGCTCCCCACTCGATGAGGATGGGCTTTTCAGGGAATCTGGTGACAAAAGCAGGGGGAGGGGGGCTTGACTTGTCAGAAACAGGATCTACTAGATGCATACAGCTAATGAATATGCCCAGACTGTGTGAAATTAGAACAAGGAGGCATTCTGTCGCTCGCCCTGTGTGTGTGTGTGTGTGCGCGCGCGCGCGCGCGCGATTCCTCTAGACCGCTCAGGCATCTTTGCCTGGATCTTGTAGAGGTTCGGCACGTGTCCGACACCAGACAGCCTGTTGTTTTTCTAGGGAAATCTCCCAGCCCTAGTTCTACTCCATGGTCAGTGCTGTTATTCGCCCCTTTCGTTTTGGAAAGGGGAAGGGGAAGCCGTGCTCTTCTGACACATTTTTATTATTTCTGTTCTAACAGTGAGCAAGAATGGAGGCTGAGCATTGCGTGGGGGCGGGGCGGGGCGGGGGCGGGTGTATCTTGGTGGACTCCTCTTGGATCCTCTTCCAAACTATGTTTGGGATGGAGGTAATAAGGTCTGGTTGGTTGGGAACTTAGGGTGCCCCCAGTTTTTCTCCCTAGCTCTGAGAATGGAATGCTTTTTACGGATGACAGGGCTTAATTTCTAAAATGAGGGGTCCATTTGAAGTATTCTTTACCCTGTGTGTGTGGGGGGGGGGGAGGGGGTGGCGGCAGCGATGGAGAGTTGCAATTACTTAGGAAAGCAAAAAAGGCACTCTGCACATGATCAAGAATCCATGATCTTTACATGGTCCAGCTTCTAAAACAAGGTAGCTCTGTCTAAAACCAGCCTGTTTTTACTGAGTTAGAGAGAAGGGCAGGAATAAAAATCAGGGATTTGAGATTCTGACCCAATCAAAAAGCTGGGAGGAAGATTGGGGCCTGCAGGTTCTTCAAATAGACACTTTTGTCCTATCCCCTGGTCTCAGTCAGCTTGCAACATTTTAAAGTACCACCTTCATCTGGCATCCACACAGCTAGCCTGATTACTCAGCTACAAAGGAGAACAGCAGAGCCTGTGTACTGCTGGGCACAGAGGGGGGATTTGACAGGTGGCAGCTTGTCATACATGAGTGTGGAAATGCTGTCATCTGCTCAGCTGTTAAAGGTGCAGCGGCCTTAACTTCTTTTGCATCTGATCATCCGAGACATATCTGTGTATCCCTTTGGCACAATCCCGTTGTTTTCATCCATCTAGCTGAATGGGGAACCCATTTTTCTCCTGTTTGCCCTCACCTCCATCTTCCTCCCCACTCTTCATTGTTTCCCTTGTGATTGCAGGAGCTTCAGGGCAGAGATCCATCTTTTCTTATTATTCAGTTTCTCTTACAGTGACTGTGCCCCATCTCTCCCTAAACAGCTTAGATGCCTGGCTATCGAGTTTTGCTCCTTTTGCACTACCCATAGCAGTCCCACCCCTCAAGTTTAAATACACATACCTAATTCAGCATTCTCCACCACTCTTCATCTTTTGTGTCTGGAATGGCCTAAGTATAAAGTGGAGGGGATTTTGTGCAGAGGGTAGAGGAGGGGATTTTGCAGTTCTGGAGCACTGTGCAGCCCACATCAATAAACTGGAACATGTTCAGAGAATGGCAACAAAGATGGTGAAGATTCTGGGGAGGGAGTTCTGTGGGGAAATGTTGAAGGAGTCGGGTGTGTTTCATAGAATCATAGAATAGTAGAGTTGGAAGGGGCTATGAAGGCCATTGAGTCCAACCCCTTGCTGTTGCAGGACACCATGTTATATGAGGTGATTACATAGTAATATATGAGACTTCTTATTTTTGGGGTTATCACTCAGATGATGGAACAAATTTGTTTTATGTTGCTCCAAAGCAGCCTTTCCCAATTTAGTGGCCTCCAGATGAGTTGAATTACAACTCCCAACATGTCCCAGCTCCAAAGGGTAAATACCAAACTTTTGGAAAAGATTTCCAGCCAAGCACTAGAGATACTTTCCTGATGGTACGAGCTGTAGCACAGACTGTCCTTCAGCAGAGGTTTTTAAGCAGATGGTCACCTATCAGTGATGCAAGCAGTTGAACTGCTTGAATTTGGAGGTTCCTTCCAAATCAATTATTCTGTGTCATGGGCACTGGAAAGCTACTGCTAACAGAATTCCTTCTTTTATATAACAATGAAAGGTACAGGAACTCTACAGATCTGATTGCATCTAGTCTCCTTTCTTCCTCCATGGATTCTATAGTGCAACTGTTACACACACACACACACACACACACACACACACACGGAGGGAGGGAGGGAGGGAGGGAAGCTTTTCATTGCCACAGAAGGTGCTGTTCAGGCATTTTAGTGCTTAAAAGGTCCTGTCATTAGCACTGAGAGAAAAGCAATTAGGATATTCTATCAGCTTCTTTCCAACTCTTGGAGAAGATCACAAGTCTAGCTAAGTGTTAATTAAACTGAGTGATGGGCACAGGAGCAGAGGAGGTGTGATGGTGCAAGAAACTTCCAGGAGAAGGAAATCCGTAGATGCACAGATACCATTTGTCTAGTTACCTAGAACAGCCAGCCACACAAGAATTAAGCTGTTGAAATTATTTGCATAGCTAAATCTCTACTCCAGAAATGTTTCCAGATGAAGCTTTGACTATGGAATTGCCCTGCTGCATTCATGGACTTTTATAGGGGTCCAGGTAATGCCATCTTCCACTGGTGATACTCCTGCATTTCTTGATTCTTTATTCTTCTTGTAAAAAATGGCTGAGATGGAAAGGATGGAATAGCTGCACAATGCCTTCTGGTTGTTAGATGGAGTCCTCTATTTGGAAGCACCCCAGAAACATAGGAACATGATTCAGAACATTGGGGCATCTAGCTTGAGATGTTAGTTGTCATTTAGTATTGTTGTTAAAAGATGAGTTATTGTGTTGTCTAAATCCAGTCATGATAATATGGTTTTTTTAACCATGAACAACCCACAATTCTTAATCCAACCACAAACCATGGCATCTCTTCCAGGGTCATTTGTAGTTAACAAACCATGGTTAGTTAGTATGGCTGAGTTCAGACATCATGATAACCCATGTTTCAATAAAGCCTATGGTTCAACAAGTCACACTCAACCTATACTGAATCTTTGAGTATGAGTTATCATCCTGTCCGAACTCAGAAATTATCAGAAACAATCATCATGGCAGCCAGTCATGGAGGCCAGCAGTTCCTCAGGGTTTCAGGCAGATGTATTTCCTACCACTGTCTAGAGATGTCAGGGATTAAATCCAGGACCTTCTGCATGTAAATCATATGTTCATTCCCTAAGTGATAGCCCTCTACAAAGCAGTCCCGAGAAAAGTGCTCACTGAGTTTTGCACCTGATTTTGATAGCCCTTATACAGATATATAAGCATGTTCATTGGATTGCCTCTACATCTGATGCATTACACACACTGGTAGTTTGCATTGTTATATGTATCGGAATTCCTCTTTCATCACAGTTTATGTCATCTCCAAATACAATGCATAAATATGTATACTGCTCTCAAAATTAGTAAAAATTGCACACGCATGCAAAAAGCATGCAAGATAGAAAAAATGGGCAGATTTGCTTAAATTGCATTATTATGTAGGTCACAGAATTCAGCTTTTCTTATTGCACAGCTTGTGCTACATTGATGCAAGATTTTGGCTTTGAAGATCACTGGGTGACTTTGGGCAGCAGCCTAACCTATTTTACAGGTTTGTCGCTCTGAGGATAAAAGGAAAAGGAGGAGGACTGTCTAAACTGTTTTGGGCTGCTTGTAAGAGGGAGTAAGAAGGAATATATACACATTTCTGTTCTCTTATTTCCAGTGCCAGTTTTCACAATCCTGATTTACAGGGACAAGGGTGATCACTGTCAGGTTTGCAGTTCAGGAAGAAAGGCTTAAACTTCCTCATGTACTGAACTTCTAATCTTGATCTCTCCCACTGCCACCACCATTTCTACTATCAAGTAAATTATAACAAAGCTATATATTTAATATAGCATGTACACTGATCAGTTTATGGACAGGTATGCATGCATCTGTGTCAGTCATACACACAAACAACCTCCAGAGACATTCTGCCAAATCTAATTACTACCCTCTCTCAACTTAAATCTTGCTGTGCACTGCCCAGAGAGCCCTGGAAGGCTATAAATGGAATGAATAAATAATAATGAACATAAAATAATGCAACAATAATTATAATAACAAGCCTCATATGGTGTATAGCTTGAAACAGAGTTCTGGTTCTTACTGGGAAGTTGCAAAGCATTTCTGAATTTTGGAATGTGCTTCTGTGTACAAAATCCTGTCTATAGACAACTAGAGTGTCAGTAAGAAGCAAGGTGAGAACTCTTTTCCCCATGTGCTAACTTTCTATGTAGAGTTTGGATGGATGGATGGATAGCTAGATATATAAGCATTCCCTGTGTGAACAACCACTTGCACTGCAGCCTGAAATGCTGCAGTCTTGCAGATGCATGTTCACTGATTCCCAGCACAATCTTAAGCATATATACTCTGGAGCAATTCCTGGAGTTTTCAACAGTATCAACTCCTAGTATAGTCTTCCCTAGTCAGGGGCTCTCTGGAAGTTTTGGACTAAAACTCCTGGTATTCCTGGCCCTTAAGCATCTCGTTGGTGCGGATGGGAGCCCTGGGTGTAACATCCTCTCTAATTTCTGCACGCTGGGAATTTCTGGATTATCCTTTTCCTTTCTGTTTGGCAATCCCCTGGCAAAATGCTTGTGGGTGCCCTGTTTCAGAAGTGGAGCAGCACGTGTTTGATGTGACCACCTGGCCAGAAAACCCTGTGGTGGAGCACGGAGGGTCTCTCTGGCTGAATTGTAGCACCAGCTGCCAGGAGGCAGATGCCAAAGGAGGCTTGGAGACATCGCTGATCAAGGAGTGGAGAGACAATGGGACCGGCTGGGCAGCCTTCCAGCTTGTTAACATCACGGAGTGGGCGTCTGCCACGGAGTGCTCCTTCAGCTGTTATGGGGAGCATAAATCTGCTCGTGCAAACATTGTGGTATATCGTAAGTGGCTATGCAGAAACAATGTCTGGTTTATTTGTTGCATTTGTATCTCTTGTTTTAAGGAACTCAGTGCAGCTTACCCCGGCCATCCTTATGCTAATACTCCCCAGATGTGTTGGACTACAACTCCCAGCTCTTGGAGGCCACATGCCAGTGCTGGGAGGCCCTGAAGGCAAAAGGGGTGGGGCCAAAGGCAAAAAGGAATGGCCAAAATGCAAAAAAGGTTTGAAGTTCCTACAATTCGTAAATAAGCCTTAGAAAAGAGCCAGTGTCATGTGGTGACTGGAGTGCTGGATGGGGTATCCAGGAAATCCAGGTTTTACTTCTCACTCAGCCATGAAACTCATTGAGTGAATCTGGGTCATTTACACACTCCCAGCCCAACCTTCCTGACAGAGTTGTTGTTCTGAGGACAAAATGGAGCTATGTCAGCCACCTTGGGTTCCTCATAAGAGGAAAAGGGGTGCAACATAAATGTAAGCTCCATCAGCATAACCTCAGCTCTTTAGAATGAGAGGGAGGGGAGCAGCACAAAAACTAGGAACCCACCAAACAACTGGTAGTTGAGGAAAAGTGGCGGAAGCAGGGGGTGAGCGCAGTTCTAAGGAACCTAGAGGGCTGAATTTGATTCCTGGGCCTGAGCTTCTGCATCACTGGTCTAGCAAATGACTCGATCCTTTCCTTCCTATGGATTTTCTGTGGCAGCTTCTGCGCTCGTGCAGAATCCCACCCCAATGTGCTTCCGTGTATCATTCCAGAGATTCCAGAGCAAGTAGCTTTGGATCCAGTGCCCGTGATGGAGGTGGGCAGAGTGTATAACCTGACATGCTGGGTTGCTAACGTTGCTCCCATCCGGAACCTCACGGTGACCTTGCATAAAGGAAAGGAGAAACTGCACGAGGAGGCATTTGAGATGCATGGTGCTCCTGAAGCCAGTGATGTTGTGGTGGCCTATGCCATAACTGTCCAGCAGGAAGATCACAGGAAGGAAGTCACCTGCCATGCCACTCTGGATTTGAGGCCTCATGGGCCACTCCTTGAAAAGACATCCCTCAGCAAGGTCCTAAGAGTCTTTGGTGAGACAGCTTGTTATACTTTGGTATACAGTATTCTTTTGTCTTTTCTTAACGATTGGAAATGAATGCATTATTTTTCCAGTGAACATAAATTACTTGAATACATGTATTCAGAAAGAGAAAGAGAAATAAAACATTTCAGCAGGCAGAAGTATTTTTCTTTCTAAATAAGAGACTCTCACAGATTTAAACAATGGTTGTGGGATCTACATTGGCTTTTAGTAGAATGTTATGTCTACCCATTGAAGCCTGGTGTAAAAGATGAGCATGTCAAATTCTGAGCCCAAGAATTAGTTCCAAGTACCAAAACTGTATGCAACTCTACTTTTGCACTCAAAACCCCACTCCTAATTATGTGATGCTTTCTTTCTTCATTGCATCAGTATGATTTAAGTTGGTCAGTTTATTTTGTTGCTGTTATTATTACACAATCGGGAGTCAGAAATCCTTGTGAATCCATCACAAATCACCCAGATATCCTCTGGTATATTAGAATCTACCTTTTATTCACCCAGAGAGCTTTGGGTATTGGGCAGTATAGTAATTATATAAATAAAAAATAAAAATAAGACACTCCCTGTAGGAAAACACCCATGTACTGTGGCTAGCATCAAGGGCAGGCATAATCCAGCATCTGTGGAGGTCCCACATCCCAGCCAGGGGTCCTGACAAGACCTGACAAGGCCTTCACCCCTCGTCCCCTGGCAACCTGCTGGCTCACCTGCTCTGGCCCAGGCAGCAGCAGGAGCTGCCACTGCTTACTTGCTTCCTGGCCCTCTGCCTGGCAGGCACGCAGGTGTGGCAATGAGGAGAAACAGGAGGGCCAGGAGCAGCTGGTGGGAACAGCAGCAAGAAGGTAGGCTCCCTGAGGGAGATGGCCCACTGGGGGTGTCTTCCCAAGGGCCCTCTGCAGCCTGGAAGCAGCACAGGCACAAGCATATTCCTTCCTAGCTGTGGGCAGAGCTGGAGCCAGAAGGGAAGTAGGCACCCGGTTTCTCTCTTTCCTTTTCGGCCACCCTTCCTTCCTTCCTTCCCTCCCTCCCTCCCTCTTCCTCTTCTTCCACCCCCAGTGTGCTGCTGGAGAAGCAACATAATGCTGTTGGGAGAAGCCTGAACTGATCGCTTTCAGAGGGCATTTCAAATGCAGTGGCCCTAAGGTGCCCACTCAAGCTGCCCACCTCTGCTGCAGAGACACCTAGGGTGCCATCCCCTGCATGTCCAGACAGGAACAAGTCTTTAAACTCCCAGCATGGGTGGCTGGGGAATGCTAGGGGGGATTTTGGATTTTTGTATAAGCACACATAGCATTGTGCTCTTAAGGACTTTTTAGAACCTAGGATGTAAACAAGTTGGAAGTGAATGCAGGAAGCTGGACCACTGAAGTATTACCATTCTTCTCCTTTCAACTCATAGCTTTTTAGAAATGTCTTCTGAGCAATTATAATTCAGGGCAGGATGCTAGGCTTGACAGGCAGCTGATGTGAGCCAGGTTATCAAGAATCTCATTCTTAGAACAAAAAAGTATCTCTGGCCCTTGTCCCCCCCCCCCCCTCTCCATAAGCACCAGTTCCCAGTTGCATGCTCAGGGAAGACATTCTACTGCCAGTGAGCATGCAGGGAATATGTAATTAATATAATCCTGTTACTGAGTGTCTATTAATAACTCTGTGAAAGACACTGCCTGTTTCCCTCAATCTTGTGTGAGTGTGAGAGAGAGAGCTTCGTGCTTTAATGAAGCTGTGATGGCTGGTTGATTCACAGCCTTTGTTTTGGTGCCCAGAGACAAGCTGCCCCCAACCTCACCTGGATGTTTGGCACAGACTGACAATGCATTTTCTTAATGGAAGAACGAAATGTAGTCAGCTGTCTTTGAGGGGTTGCTTTGCAATACGTTCACCCAGGGAAGACACGTTACACTGCCAACATTTTTTCCTTTCTACGTTTGTTTGTCACCTATCCTCAAAAGCTCATGATAGCTTTCAGGAATAAATATGCCACATAATTAAAACACATCAAATCCTAAAAGAATGTCATTTGAGAAGAACAGGGAAAACAGCAATAAGAACAAAGGAATAAAAGGACACGTTATGTTGAAAAAACACTCACACACTGCCAGATGCATGTAGTAATCTATGAGCGGTTGCACTGAAATGTGCATTTGCACCAATGTGCAACCCCTGGAAAGCTGCACAGCGAGGATGCACAGTGCTGACGTTTGGATGCACATACCATTTATACCTGCTATTTCTAGTCTCAAGAAGCAGGTGTGTGTGCTAGACAGCTCCGTGGCTGTGGACCCCTTATCTGAATTAGGGCAAGAATTAATGTCTTCCATCTGGTCAGCAGTGATTCCCAAGGAGGAGGAATGTGCAGGGTGCAATCAAATGTATGTGCAGGCAGGAAAAGAGCCTATAAGTCCCAGTGTGCTCCAGTCAGCCAATTGTAGCTTTTCTGTCTGTCTAACATACGATAAGGGACTTCCTTCATGGAAGGTGACTTGCCACAGTTACTGCTGTCCCCTGCTCTAGGTGCACTCAGAGCTCATAAGGAGTGATAGTAAGCTTGGATAGTAAAGGCTTGTTCCGATCTCACGATGGCTGTTTGGAGACGGAGCAAACACAACAGGATCCTGCTTTTTTGCATTCATGTGTTGTCTGGAAAAGGCTGAAGAAAACTAGGCTTGAGCAGGGCTGGCCTTACTATTAGAGGGAGTGCACTGGCTGGCTTAAGAGCAGTGAATGTTCTAGTCATTTTGTTGATTATTTCTGTTTTTACTGTCAAGGAAGGGAAAGGAGCACCTACAGAAATGACTACCTGGGGAGCCAAAATAACTTGATCAGCCTTGTCCGCTAAGTGCTTCGACTGTCCTGGGGGTTGAGTAGGATGTGCTGCTCCTTCCTAGTAAGAGCTATGTCTTAGGCCAGCCCTGTGGTCAGCCAGTTCTGGATAAAAGTATAGGAGTGTGGCTACCCAGAGCCAGTGTGATATAGTGGTTAAGAGTTCAGGCCTGGGACTCTGGGGATTTGGGTTCTAGTCCCCTCTTGGCCATGGAGCTCACTGTGCGACTTTGTGCCAGTCACAGACTCTCAACTCACCCTACCCCAGAGGGTTGTTGTGAGAAGATTGAAAGCAGGAGGAGAATGAACTTCCTTGAGTTCCTTGGAAGGAAAAAGGGTGAGATATAAATATAATACATACATACATAATGATGGGGGTAGAGAAACAGAAGTGTGGGGACTTGCTGAATTTGTTTTATTGGACGAGGAGGAGTTTAAAGCACCAAAGAGGACGTGCATACGGTAGATGTACCTTCTTTGGCTTCAGCATGGGGATGTTGCTCATAAAAAGCATGACTCTTCAGAGACTGGAGGCAAAAGAGTTGGAGCATCTCTGTACTTGGACACAAGTCCTGTTCCATATGTGCCATCTTTTTCCTTTCCAGATTTTGCAGTGGATCCCCAGCTTCATGCCTCACACTATGTGGAGGCTGACAGCAACATGACTGTGCAGTGCGATGTGGTCAGGGCTTTCCCAGTGGAAGAGGCCCAGTTTGACCTGACACTTGGAGAGGAGAGACTGAATACCAGCATCAGTGTGTCGGGTGCGGCTGTACAAGCCCAGACACAAGCATCCTCTTTAAGGGCTGGAAACCATACACTCACCTGCACAGTATCCCTGGGACCAGTGACCAAATCTGCAGTGGAGATGGTACAAGTTTACAGTGAGTGGGTGCTCAGGTTTCCAGAGAACAATGGCTCATATTAAAAATTCTTCTGTTAGGTTTTCTTCTTCTTTGAGAGGGCATGACAGTCAGAAGCACAGCACCGTCACTGGTAGGTTTCACTGTGTAAGAATGACTGGGGGAAGAGATGGCCAATCTGTACAGGCCCTTTGCAATTGATGGTGTGAACACGAGGATAACCTTGTGTCTCATCTGTTGCCAGCCCAGGCTTCTTTGCAGTGGGTGGCATAGTGAAGCAAAGGCAGTGGTGCCAGCAGGTAATTTGGACTCTGAACAGAACTGTCTGATGGTGGCAGAATGGAGGGCTGCAGATGGTAACGTGTACAACTGAAGATGGACTTGTGGTGTGGTGGCTGCTCTTTAGAGTAACCTGTGCATTCCAGAAGTTGACAAGTGCTATGGCAGCCCTGTCATTGTCACCGGACCCTCTCTGGCCTACTGGTGCAAGGAGGCTTTTTCAACCAGTCAGAACTGGTCTTCCCACAGTACCCCCCTGCATGGATAGGTGGCAGCCCACAGCCTGAATGAACTCCAACAGCCCACACGCCCCCAGATCACCAGTTCAAGACCTTGTGTGGATGTGACAGAGGCCTGGTAACATGTAGATGAGATAACTGAAAGCTTCTTCCTGCCTTTCTCCTGTTGGAGAAGGAAAAGATCTCTGCCAGCCTAGGAAGTGGCTGCCGGTTAGAAGGGTCAGCACCGCTCTCGGTGGACCAGAGTTCTGCCTCCTTCAAAATGCCTGGGTTGCCATTCGAAGCGCTGTGCAGCTGCTCCCCCAAGGCCGGTCAGCTGGGGTTTTTTTTTATTATTTATTTATTAAAACATTTCTATGCCACCCCTTGCCAAGGCCTCGGGGCGGCTTACAACATCAAATACAAAATACATTCCCTCATGTTCCCTCATGTCTCATATCGAGTGACTTTAGAAATGGACACTGCGTGAGCACAAATGGAGTTTGTGAAGTAGCATAATAGAACCTGCACTTCAAAAAGAAATGGGGTGGCAGGACTCTCATCTCTTCGGTTAGCACTTTGGATCCTGGTCCTGTTCTTCCATCTCACTGATTTTTGATTGGCCACAGTGCTTTCAGTTCTCATGATTCCTGGTACCAGCCTGATTTTATAAACACTAGTGTCTTTCTTAGAATAGGCAATAGCAAGTATTCATGGTCCCAGATCCTTCAACAACGTAGGCTTTCATGGTGTGTGGATGGCTCACACCAAGTTTTTCCCTTCCCCATCATGGTATCCTGCAGAATACAGCTCATATGATATTTTGTGTTGCCTCCACCATTTTAGCTAGCACCACGACACAGAATTGAGAAATGCAGGATTTAATTAACGTATTTCTCTACTAAAATGTTTCTGCCCTGTCCTATATGTGAGCTGAGGTAAGTTCTACTAGTTGTTACCTAGAAACAGAGGCAAATCAAGTTGCATGGCGAGTGTTTTTAGTGGCAGTCACACATCAGCACTGCATCTTGTTTGGCCCTAAGACCGTCTTTTCTCTCAGAGGATTGGCATTGAATGTCATCAACACCTGCCACTAGAGCATGTGTTCTGAGCTGTTGTAGGAATAGCATTCTTCTTTGTGCTGATGGCAGGTTTTCCTGAGCCTTCCCTGGAGATTCATCCGCCCCAGACACTCGCAAATAGTCCTGTAACCATTACATGTGATGCTCCAGCTTTTCAGCCATCCAGCATTTCTCTTCAGCTCAAAAATGCTTCTGGAAAGATCTTGGCATCTGGTGATCAAGCCCCTCTGCAATTCAACCTGAAAGCTCAGGAAGAAGATGATGGGAGGGAATTCATATGTCAAGTGGAACTGACAATTGGTGGAGACAAGATCACGAAGCGCACATCTGCCAATCTTACAGTTTTCTGTGAGTACAGAACTTACCTTCTTGGAATACCATTTGCTTTGTTATCTTTGCATTGAAATGTGTACATTATATGATATTCAGTGCATCTTCAAAAGTAGCCTTCAAGTGGTGAGTTAATTTTTAAATGGAGCATGTGTTCCCCTGAAAAATTTTTCTCTGCTCCCCTTAATTATTTTTTAAAGAAATATATATATTTTAAAAGTTTACAGTTTTGTCTGTAAAAGACCTACAAACCAGATTAACTTTTAGGCTGCCAGTGGGTCTGTTTTGAACCCATCTATCAGTAAGCAAAGTACCATTCTGGAATGAATTCCTAAGATGCATTTTTAATTTTTAAATAACATGAAAAGTCTATTATAATACTGTATGATATAGTGGAATGCTACACCAAGATACCCTAAATTCCCTCCCAAGGCTGTTGAATTATACAACCTGTATCTACTATACAAATTGGGCAACTATGTTTAAAATTCCCTGTTGTGCATAAGTTTCTTTGGTTAAGTGCAGGGCTTTTTTGTCATAGAACGCACTGGAACAGCGTTCCGGCACCTTTTTTTCCAATGGATTTTACGAAGTGATTTTGAATTGTAGCAGATCGGCAGCAAACATCATTAACATAGTGCCTGCAGGCTGCTTTTGTGTCTGCTATCTGCTCCAGACGCTGCTTGGCTTGGGATTGGTGTGTGGTTGCGCGCTTACTGCTGTCGACGTGAGTTCCGGCACCTTTTTTTTTTTACAAAAAAAGCACTGGTTAAGTGCAATCTACATCCAGCCTCCCTAGTGCCTCAATCTGGCCCTCCAGAAATCCCCAAAATAATGGTGCCCTTTCCCCCAAATCATCAATAATATAGTGGTTTTTCAGCGTTTCCGCAGTTCTCCCTACCCTGGTCTTTGTTACTGACTGTAAGAACTTTAAGCTACACTCTACTGGAAATCTGCATTTTCAGGCCCAGCCTTTTTGTCCCTTCACCTTCACTCATGCTGACCATCGCATGTGGCCCCCGACAGCAAAGAGATTCAACACCCCTGATCTTCTCATTCAAGCTCACCCCCCTGGGAATTTGCCAGCTCAAAATGCAATGGTGTGTGCTTGTATGGTTGTTTGCTCCTCTGAGTCCACAGAATAACCTGGGAGCTAAGGAATGGGTCCTGGAAGACTGGGGGGTGAAGCCTGGTGAAACAGGCAGGCAGTTAGTGACAGCTGGTGGAGGCAGAAGGCAGTGCTTGGCAGCTATGCCTGGAGGCTCAGCGTGGAGCTTCATGGACTGATGTGTTGTACTGAGAGCCAAGTGAATAGCTGAAGCTCCATCAAGCCAGTGGAAGATTACCAGCCCACCACCGATCTGCAGTTGACATTGGACTCATTCCGCAGGAGACCCTGACAAAGTATTTAATGACTTTATATGCCGCTACAATAGCCAATATCTGGGCTCTCTGTGAGACTCTCTGTCAGGCCTTGAAGCCTGACTGTCAGTTGTAGAGGCAGCGGCAGGTATTCAAATGCTCTCCGCATCTGAACACCAGGTAGAGGAGTAGACAGCACTAGGTAGAGGAGTCCTGTGAGGTGGGATACATATCGAGGGGCTGAGCGTGGAAAACCATCTGGTGGATCAGAATAAATGAGCTGTGCCTGATGACTATCAGGAGGGCAAGGTTTGCACGCCTGTTGGGTATTTCTTTCTTTATTAAGATATTTCTGATGTACCCCATATCACAGAGTGGGATACAACCAGTAAAAACAATTCAGTGACAAATCTACAATTCAGGATATAAAATCAGTAACAATAATTAGAACTTTCCAAAAGTTCAGTGAGACCCCAAAGCTTGGGCAAAGAGTTAGGCCTTAACCTGGCACCAAGTGAAGGCAACATGGTTGCCAACTGGGCTGCTCGGAATGGATGTTCCATAAGAGAGATGCCACAGCCAAGAAGGCCCCTGTGCTGTCTCCATGTAATGCACCATTCCTAACAGAGCAGAGTAGAAGATAATCTTTTACTCAAGGTTAATACTTCCCTTAATACTTGGGCCCTCTTTGCTGCAACAGGTACTCCTTCAAAAACTGAGGCATGAAGGCAACAGAAGGAAGTTTCATTTTATTCCTATAGTTATTGTATTGCTATAATTTAAATATGTTTAAAATACAAAATTACCTCAGAGTAATTTTGAGTGTTTTTGACAAAATGTGTCATTGTAAAATATGAGGGAAGACGAGAAACGTTAGTTGTGAATTTAACAACTGAAGCAGTCCACATGGTCATCTAATGAGGGCCCAAAAATGCAAAAAAGACAGGATTGCCAATTAGAATGCAAGAAAAACACACAAGGTGCAAGGAACTTCATAGAAGCACACTCAATCAGTATGTATTAAATAAAAAGAAGTGAGCTTGTGATAGTTAAGACTACTTTTCTTAATTTTATATGCAACACACTATGAAAACTGATATCACAAGGAAAAATCTACTTTCTAAATATGAAAACAATTCCATGGTTAATTGAATAAGGTCAAATAGCCAAGTGTACTATAGTTTGTGAGCTGATGTATTCATCTGAAGAAAACTTCAATATTATTTTCAGTATAGAATATAGATCTCTGTAAAGGAAAACAAAGATATTCCTCATATTACATGTTTCCCCAAAGTTACTTTACACAAAACTGTCATAAGCAATGTATCTCTTTCACCTTATTTGTGGCAAATCACTCTTTCCCCAGGAAAAACTGGTGCTTTAAATGCTCCACGGAAGAGAGAATGCTATCAAAGGAGCCATAGATTAAGCAGCGGTTTAAGCCTTATACATAGGGTATCCTCACCAACATATAATTAAATCCAAGATCTAAAATTACTGAATATGACATGAGACCAATCCTATTGCCACAAGAAAGTAGACTTGGTATCCCCACTGCCCCTAAGCTAGAGCTGGCCGGAGTCATTTTGTCACCTCAAGCATTTGCACTGTGTGATTCAAGAGGTGCAACCCCCTCAGCCCTCAGCATCGTATGTGGTGCTGCAAGAGACCTCACACTGCCCCTTTCACAGTGCTTCTGACATTGCAGGGGGCACTTCAGTTGCTTGCACTGCCCTTCCCCCAAGAATCGCTTGCCACCCCCACGTCCGTCAAGGGTATCCAAGCTCTTGTCTCCTTGCAACCCCCGCATAGCCCGGTGGCCCAGCCGGTCTACTTGCTTTACCCGCAGTCCTCTTCAACACTTGCAGGTCACTGTGAAAACAAAAGGCCAGCAAGGCCAGCCAGCCACAGTCAACCCCCCCACCCCCACCCCCAACAACATACACCACTTCCAGTGTAAAAGATACAGTGTCGACCCATTTTAATGGCCAGAGAGAAGGAGACAGACTAACAGACTTGCAGTTCGGTGTCTGTTAGGCAGAACCAAGAAAATGCAATGGTGTGATGCAGCTGTGTCAAAAAATGCTGAAATTAGTTCTGATGATTGAGAAAGAGAAGCAAGTGAAGATCCGGGGTTTCAGGGTTCAGCTTCTGGTGCAGCAAGGGGAAAGGGAGCAAAGCTGGAGGGAATCTAGTGAGTGAAGACTAGGAGCTGAGGTATTACAGGGGAGGGGGCGTTCATGGATGCTAAAGGAGCACATCACATGCTCCAATCATGCCTAAAGTGCGCATGGGGACCTGCTTTTTAGGGCAAATAGGCATGTGCTGGACCAGTGACGGGTGCTAAATCTTCCACTAGCTCCTGTCTTTCTCTTTTGATACTGCTCTCTCCCCACTTGGCCCTTGTGAAAGAATTAATCTATTCACATTATTTTGTGTTATACTCAGCCAAAAAGCAGTTGCTTTCTGTTTGGACTATTTGCAATGTAAGTTTTATCTAAACTTGGACAACACTTTAAGCCTGTGGTAGCCAAAACACTTGCAGAACCACTTGACAAGAGTGGCCAAAAAGGACCTGCCATTCAGGCCGCACAATTTAAAGCGAGTGTCCACCACAGCTTCCAACCAATATAGCCAGCAGCCTCAGCAGTGCAGGACAAGCCATGCTCTGCTTCGCTTCCACTAACGGAGGTTGAGCAGAATGTGCCACCCCTCTCCGCAGCAGCAACCCTGAAGGATTCTGGGATTACTGCAGAGAATGCTGAGCAGGAGGCTCTTGTGCTGAGCCAGAAGCCAGAATCCCCTATAACAGATTAGCTACGCTTTAGCTGGGTACAAGTGAGAAACCTGTTTAATTCAATTTTAGTGAAAACTTACACAAATTTGCAAATTTACTTCATAAATGGGTTTTTGCTTTTTGGTTTTTTTATACAAGTCTAGAAGAAAGTGATCAGGGTTTGCATCCTGTGGTATTTAACTATAGTTATTCTGCTGAATTAGGGTTGCCACCACTTCTTCTTTGTGTTTAACAGCTCTTTTGCAGAGAGGTACAACAAGGTCTTCTCTTTCCTGGGAATAGCCATACCTTGTGAACTAGGCCAGTGCAGATAAGCGAAACTGTTGTTGAGTTCATTTTCTTTACAGGAACTTTGTAAAGTTCTTCTCATATTTATAAAAAATTATCTTCACAAATAGGATTGAAGTAACATTAGATTTATACAAATAAAAGGGGGAGAAAGTAAAACTGGCAGATTTGTCCGTCCCTAGTCTTAACTAGTCATAAACATTGTCTGCAAAATATACCCTCTTTTCCATTGCATAAAGCCCTGCTCAGGGATATAAGCACTCTTGCTCCCTAGGTTTAGCACACAATATTTGACTACTGGAATTATGTTTTCTAAAAAACTAGGCCACAAAAGATTGAAATGAATCATGGCTCTGGTGTAGATAATACCACAAGGATTGCTGACATCTGGAGATGGTTCTTCAAAATCTGTACTCTAACCATATAATTCAAGATCAACCTAAACAGTGAAAAGGGACTAAATTAAAATATGTGGTGTTGCCCTGAGTTTACAACTGGAAAATAACTCTTAATTCATAGTAGTAGATCAGGAAGGTTCAACAGATAATTCTGTTTTATTACCTGTTTATTATAAAAGGTTTATACCTCAGGAGGCTGCTTAAAAGAAAAAGCAACATTAAGCCAAACACAGCAGTAAACCAAAGTTGTGAAACCAAGGGCAGACCAAGGTATGTGGACATCTGAAGCAGAAAGCCACAGTGGGAAAGGGTAGCTCAACCACAGGAGTTCTTTGAGTAGCAAATCTTGTGGGCTTGTAATCTAAAATATAATAAATAATAGATAATTTGTCGCTCTTTAAGCCAGAACATTCTTACCCTAACTTGTGCTAGGACTAGATATTCCTAAAGCAACCCCACATACCTGCACCTGTGTCAATGTGGCTTAAGTAGCAACCTCTGTCCACTGCCACCCAAATATTCTAGGTCAAGATTCTCCAACATTAAACCTCCCCTTTATTTCTTACCCAAAGAGAGAAGAGCCTCAACCAATGTGTGTGTTCCCCTCTGCACACTGCAGATGTGCCAGGAATGGATGAGTCCACTTGCCCCAGCAGCCCTACATGGGTAGAGGGAACACCACAAGTGCTTCACTGCATGGCCAAGGGGAACCCCAAGCCATCCGTGATTTGCACCAAAGATGGCCTTGCTCGCAACATGGAAAGGGAAGAGCAGGTCAACCGGAGCCATGCTGGCCTCTACAACTGCACTGCCACCAGTGAGCTTGGATCCAGCTCTAGAACAGTCACTGTCCACGTGGAATGTAAGTGACATTTCCATGTCATTGTATGTGAAGCAAGGGAGGATGGTGTACAGCTAGTTGCCCTGATTGGCTATCCAGGGATAAGAGCTCTGAACTTTGCACATGACACATGTCAGATGCAAAAGCCGGTCATGTCCTGACCTCAAGCACAAGCCCAAGAAGGACAATGGGGCCATGCTCAGTGGCAGGGCACCTGGTTTGCATGCAGAAATGATCCAGGTTTGATTCAGGCATCTCCACAAAGGGCTGGAAAGCCTGGAATGCCATGGCTGTCGGTCAGTGTTGACAAGGGTATGGTGGATGGACCAGTGGTCTGACTCAGCATGAGGCAGTTTCCTGTGTTCCTACTTCCAAGTGAGTCATGTGCATGTACCAAGCTGGAGGCTGACCGAACCCTTGTAACTCTCTCAGTCTAAGCATCACCCTCTGCCCAAATTGCCACCCTGCAATTCCTCCCTGCAGAGTGTGATTTCCTAAATAGATCCTCCCCAGGCCTGGAGCTGAGTGCTTCTGTGCCTACTGGGGATTTCTGGCCTGCCTCACAACCACTGCCATTGCATTGGACATTGCAAAGACTTGACTACTCAGAGGATGGGCTCACAGTGGGGTGGTTTATGAAGGTTGTGGGTCACTGTCTTCACATTCATAACTGTGGGCCTCAGGTTCAGTATCAGGAACATGGTTGTGTTCTCCAGTTGGCAGGATGGTGATGGTAGATGTAGATCTCCTCCACCATTCTTCTCACAAGCCAGGGCCATGACACATCCTTAATTAAGAGACTCTGAAGAAGCTGAGCAGCTTTGTGGAATATTTGTGGTTAGGGTTGAATGTACAGTTCCTTCTCCTTTCCATTGCAGATGAGCCTCAGCTGGACGAGTCCAACTGTCCAAGTAACCAAACGTGGCTGGAAGGGAGCCTGCAGAAGCTCAGTTGCCAAGCGGATGGCATCCCAGTGGCAGAGGTCTCCTGCATGAAAGACGGCAATGTGTATGATACAAGGAAGGCGCAGAATGTCACACAAAACCATGCTGGCGTCTACCGCTGCAATGCTACCAATCCACATGGGTCAAGCAGCAGGATGGTCACAATCCAGGTGGAATGTAAGTGCAAAATGACACAATAAAATAAAACCTTTTTTAAAGGTGGGGAAAAGAAGAAGAATCTGGGCACAGCCCTAGTTTCTGCAGCTGGACAGATGAGCCCAAACTGCAATGAGGCTTTGGCCAATGGGGCGGCATATAAGTTTGCAAAATAAATAAATAAATAAATACATACATAAATACATAAATAAATACATTAAATAAATAAATAAATAAATAAATGTGGCTTTTAATGGGACTCAGAGCATGCAATTCTCCACAAAATGTGCAAAATAATGTACCTAGGATTGGATTGTTAAAAACAAACCAATTTTCCAGCAGAGACTTCCTAGGTGTAAAAATTATCCCTTTGCACCAAAGAGGCCAACATGTCTTCAACATTGTCAGGCAGCTTCCCAGCTCGGGATACCCATGAGTCACTTGGGAGCTATATTTGTGTACAGCATTCCCCTTGCAAAATATTGTTTCTCCATGATCTTTATCTTTTAGATGAGCCTGAAATGGATGATTCTAGCTGTCCCCAGAACTGGACCTGGACAGCAGGAGAAGAGCAAATGTTCACCTGCTTTGCCTGGGGAAACCCAGAGCCAGTGGTTGAGTGCACTAAAGATGGAATAGCTTATAGTCCTGGGATTGTCCAGGCTGTCACTAGGGAATACACCGGCAGCTATACCTGCACAGCCACAAACATGCATGGCTCCAGCACCAGGGCTGTGAACATCCAAGTGGAATGTAAGTGAGCACAGACTGGGTGGCCTCACTGGAAGATTTTGGGATTCCTATTTATATGTTTGAACTAAAAACATCTGATGCCATTTTATGTTACTTCTTAATGAGTGTCCAAAAGTGCCTTTCAATTCAGTTTCATAGGGTGCAATCCCGTGCATGGCTGGCTGGGACATGCTGGAATTTGTAGGAGTTGTTTCTGTGTATGCATAACCTTAGTTGATTTTTAGTGTGATCCTAATGATAATAGGGTGGTTTATGGTATTGTGCTGTAGAAGTATGAAGTACACTGGAAAACTGAGAGCATAATTTGGTTTGAGTTCTGTCTCAGCATAATCAAGTACTTTTGATCTGCCATCTGAATTCAGTTGAAACCTTTCCCTTTTCTAGAGAGTGGGAGAGCCTTTAATCACAGACAGCCTGAGACTGTGCTCCAACTCCACGTATTAAATTCTGAGTTTGCATCATGACCTTAAGGGGTAGATTTTATGCAGAACTGGTAGCTATTATGGAGCCCTGTAGTTGTATTAATTCTCTGTTAACATCTGCCTTGGGATGCCGGAACATGGTAGAGGATTTGGGAAGGATCATGTATTCTAGGGTTCATAATTAACAAGAAGTGATGGCCAGGCTTGTTAAGCTGCATAGTTGTGTTGCATGGACCAAGAGGGCAACTTAGAACTCTCTAAAAACTTCCCCATGCCTGCACTTTTGCAAGGGAAGATCAAGTTGCTCGTCATGTCTGATCTTCTCTTTGAGGAGAATGAGAAGATGAGCTTCTTTTCCTGGAGCGCACTTGACAACATTGACCTCACCTTTTTGCAAACCCTGCCTTAATATTTCAGATAAGCCACAAATGGATGAAGCTAGCTGTCCAAGTAACTGGACCTTGGTGGAAGAGACACTGCCCACTTTTGCCTGTAGAGCTGAGGGGGTTCCAACTCCAGAAGTTGTTTGCACCAAGGATGGTATGCCATTCTACCTTGGCCATGGAGAAGAGATCCCAATCTACAATGGAACCTTGTGGTGTAATGCTACAAACCGGCATGGGACTGTGGCCAAGACCATCATGATTGCTGTCGAAAGTGAGTGGTAGTTATGATCTAGAGCAATAAGCTATCAAATATGTCAACCTCTCATTCTAACACATGCTAAGTGGACTGGTCCTACATCTTTGATTAATCTGAATAACATTCCTTTGCTCTGGTAGTCATGTTTCTCTCATTCCCTTACCTAGGGGAGGATAGATTGCCTTTTTGCCAGGTCTAGAGGAGAGGCAGAGTATTGTAGTCTCAGGGATTTGCCAAGTGTTGAGGCGTGAAAGAAATATGACTCCCATATGGGAAGTGCTTGAGTGGCTTTGAAGAATTTTTAGAATTTTAACCAGCTTAATTTTAACCAGCTTTAATCCCAATCTGACTGAACCTAAACAGTACATTATCAGCCCAGAATTTCATGGCTGCCATGTCAGCCATGAGTCTGTCCCATACAATAGCTGGATCAACACAGGTGGCAGGACAGGTTTTCAATCTGATTTTCTGTGCTGGATTAGGATAACATGATTTGTGTCTCTCTGGGTATGTACAGTTCAGATCAGCTTGATCTTCAGGTTACCTGTAACCATTGCAGGCATCAGTGACCAGATTTGATGTGCATCAAGGAGACAGCCACTAAGCAGTCCTGCAAAGAGTGAGATGTTATCAGAAAGGATTCCTGAGCTATGTTGGGGATTTTCCTGCATGTTTAGCTGGTGGTCTTGTTCAGACTTGTCTTATTCTGTGGCACAGATCCAGGCATCCTATTCTGTGGCAGTGTTGGAGATTATGCAGTTACTTCCCCATCACTGTTGCATCTGCTCAGTGTGGTCCAGAGGAGATTTTCAGGTGGTTAAATGCCTCTTCTGTGTAAGCTTTAGACCCCGTAAAGGCCCTCTGTGAACAATTTACTAGATGTTAAGTAGGATTATGCCAACCATATTGGAGATGAAATCACTTATATCTGTGCTTACTTGGAAGCCACTGTTTTGACAGAGTGTGAAGGGGAAGGGGCTAGTGTATCATCTAGACATGTTAAGATGACCTTTCAACTTGTACAGCCCAAGGGCATGAGCAAACTGCTTTGAGGACTGAGGCCTATTACTTACCTCTTAGATTCTTGTCTATCCTGGCTTGCAAAATCTGCCAGAGCTAGGCTAGGTAGGCTAACCCTTGACCTCCAGGGTAGTCTCCTTGAGAGATGGCATCATTCCTGCCATTTTGAAGGAAGCAGTGGCAAGGTCCTTACTGAAGAAGCCAAATGGACCCTGCCTCAGTTATCCATGCACTGAGGTTATCCAGACATCTGAGACAGACCACTGTAATTCATGTGGTGCTGCCCTCTGAAAAGAGCTCAGAAGCTTCAGCTGCTGCAGGATGTAGCTGCCTGAGAATTGGAGGGGGTAGGAGACAGCCAGACCATAGATTGCCTATGCTGTACCACCTGCACTGGTTACAAGAATGCTTATGAACCCAGTTTAAAGGGTTGGTTTGACCTTTGATGCCATAAATGGTTTGGGACCAACATACTTGAAAGACTGACTTCACTTATATTATTTTATTATTTTTATTACATTGCATTTAGATTTTACTTTTCTTCCTCTTGCGAGGAACCCAAGGCTGTTTACAAGTTTCTTCTCCTCTTCCTTTTATCCTCATAACAAACCTGAGGGATATGTTGGGTGAAGAGTCAGAGACTGGCCCAGAGTGGCTGAGTGGGGACTAGATCCCAGAGCTCCTTTGTCCAGCTCCAGTGTCCCAGCCACCACACCACATCGATTCTTGCTGACACTTTAAGAATTGCAATAGCATCTTAAGAATTGCAACTCAAGCCCTCCTCACTTGCTCACCTCTGCATGGGCAAGTACACAAAGAGGCCTTTTCTGCAATACCCCCACACGGAAGATCCATTGAACCTCAACCCTGCAAGCTTTTAGGAAGCTTCTGAAAAGCTACCTGTTTTCTCTGTGTGTTTCAGCCAAGCCCAAGATGGACGAGACCAGTTGCCCCAGCAATCAGACCTGGCTGGAGGGGACTTTGCAGGCACTGACCTGCAAGGCTAATGGAACTCCCACTCCACTTGTCTTCTGCATGAAGGAGGGAGCCACTGAAGATTTCCGCAGTGAGCGGAACGTCAGCAGAAACGACTCCGGTCTCTACCGGTGCAAGGCCACGAACGGCCATGGGACGGAGAGCTGGATGGTGAATGTGCAAGTGGAATGTGAGTTACCAGTCTGAACATTCCTTATTCTGGATGTCCCTGGACATCTGTGTCTGAGAGTGAGTGGGGCAGCAGTGCCGCCTTTCCTCATCAACAAGTGTCCCCGTAAGTCCCCTGCTTGGCGGTTACAGGGTTGTTCTTCATTAGATGAGCGAAAGACAAAGCGGAAGCAAATCTGCTCTCCAAATGACTGCAGCTAAAAGAGGCTCGTTCATGCACACATTACACCCACTCCAGGGAAACTGTGTGCCTGCTCAGGTTTTTGCTCAGGTTTTTGCATTTTGCTAAATGTGGTTGGGTATTTTCATGGTCCTGATACGCTCCCTTTCTCTTTAAACTGGACATGAACTGAACAGCCTTGTGACAGAGCAATGCCTTCAAATAGAGATCTGTCCTCTGACTTCTTTTTGTTTTATTTATTTATTTATTTATTTAGTTTTCGATTTATATCCTGCCTTTTTCCCACAAAGGGCTCAAGGCAGCTTACATCATTCTCCTCCTCCATCTTATCCCCACAACAACAACCCTGTGAGGTAGGTTGGGCTGAGAGTCTGTGACTGGCCCAAAGTCACCCAGTTGGCTCCATGGCTGAGCGGGGACTAGAACCCAGATTGTCTGAGTCCCAGGCCCGGGCTCTTAACAGCTACACCACACTGGCTCTTTGGAATGCCCTTTGACGAGGTGTGTGTTTGGTCCACTGTCAGGTAACGTAAGACTTCCCCATCCACCCTCAACCTGCCTTTGAAGGCAAAGTTACTGCTGCTTCTGATCTACTGCACTAGGGATTGTGCTGTTTTTAGCTATCCCACCAGCATGGCTAATGAGATTTCACTGTCAAGGAAGTTGATAGAGAAAACTTCCTTCATAAAATGGAAGCCTCGCTTGAATGAGAAGAACAAAAGGAGCACAAGCTTGCACGGGGGCAGTGCAAGCCCACAATAAGTGTTGCAAAAGAGCATTTTGAGAAGCATATCACTAACAACATCAAGGGCAGCGACAAAGAATTCTTGAAATAGGAGGAGGAGAGTTTGAGGAATCCAGACCAATAGTGGTGACAAAAGATGACATTCTCAACCTTATTGACAAACTGTAACTTAATAAATCACTGGGCCCAAATGTATCCATTGTGGAGTTCAAAAATAAAATTGCTGACCTTACAAAAAATGTAATATGTTCCTAATATCAGCCCATGTACCACCACTGTAACACCAATTTTTAAAAAGAGATCTGGAGGGATCCAAGAAATTACAGTTAGCTCAATGTCTATTCTATGTAAATTGGTTGGAAATGTTATTAAGGATAGAGTCATTAAGCATATAGAGGATCAAGACCTGATGAAAAAGCATCAACAAGGCTTTCACAAAGGTAAGTCCTGTTTCACTAAACCTTTAGAGCTATTTGAGACTACTAATACACATGTGGACAGGAGTGATCTGCCAGACATTTTTGACTTTGACTTCCAAAATGCTTTTGACAAAGTCCCTCACCAGATTCCTGTGCAAACTAATCAGTCATGGAATAAGAAGGGATACCCTCTTATGATCAGTAACTGGTTTAAACCCTAGAAAGCAGACAGTGGGAATCAATGGTAATTTTCCCAATGCAGGGATAGATACAATGGGGTTCCTTCAAGATCAGTAGCACCAATGCTTTTCAACTTTTTCTTATATGATTTGGAATTGGGAGTAAGCAGTGAAGTTGCCAGATTTGCTGATGAGCTCAAACTATTTAGGCTGGTTAAAACCAAAAGGAATTGTGAGGACTTCCGAAAGGATCTCTCTAAACTGAGAGAATGGCCCTCAAAATGGCAAATGTGGTTCAATATAAGCAAGTTTTGAGGCAAAATCAAGTATAACTTAAGTATAAGTTGATGGAACCTGAGCTGGCAGTGACTGACCGAGAAAGGCATCTTGAGGCTGTGGACAGCTCAGTGAAAACATCAACCCATTCTGCAGCTGCTGTGAAAATGGCAAACTGCACGTTAGCTACAATTAGGAAAGAAATTGCGTGTACTGGTGGGAAGGCAAGGCAATGCTATTGTTAGACCACCCTCCAGATGATGGTGGCACTCAGAGATGGGAGTGACTTTGGTCTGAGTTGGTTGCTAAGCAGCTTTTGTTTTTGCAGCATGGCATGTTGTGGTAGGGCTTAGAATTAGGAGGCAAAGGAGAAGACTAGAATAATAGCCCCAGACTTCACAAAGAAAGCATTTCTTTGGTCCCCCTCCACTTCTCTCTTGCTCTAATAGGGAAGAGGCATTTGGTAGGTTTCCTAAGGTCTCAGAAATCAAACTGAGGGGGGTTAACTCCCCACAAGTTCCCACTTTTCCAGTGCAGGCTGGAAAAATGGCCAAGGATGAGGAATTAGTTCAGATACATCTTCCTGCAACAGTGAAAGACCGCAGTGCTCAGAGAGTCAAGAATGAGTCTCAGCTTGGGTTTTCTGGGCAAACTGAAGCCTTCTCTTGCTTCCGCTTTTGTTTCCAGACAGGCCTGTTATCTCCACTCTGGCTGTCAGTGCTTCGTTACCCATCAGAAGAGGAGACAACGTCTCTATCACCTGCCAGGCAGATGGGTCTCCAGCGGCCAGCTACACCTGGAAGGTGCCTCAGGCCTCCAATCTCAACTATGCCAGCAACAGCAGCACAGTGAGCATTGTTGGGGCAGATGGGCAGAACAGCGGCGTGTATGAGTGCACGGCTAGAAACAAGCATGGGCAGCAGCACAGCCAGGTGGAAATCCAGGTAGAAGGTAAGACCACAAAGTGGAAAGTATTTGAAATATGTTTCTGCAGGTGAACCTGGGGCCTTAAAATCAACAAAGTACAGAGTGGAGGTGTTTGTAGGCAGAGGGGTCCTAGTGTTAACCATCCATGGTCATTCTGCAGCTATTTGCCTTTTTCTGGTTAGCACTAAGCAAAAAGATGGGAGAAGTGGTTGGAAAGCAGAGGGGGATTAACAAGTGGACAATGGGGGTAGGCTTCACGTTTACAGGACAGACTGGGGTTTTTTTCCTGGGCCCGTGCGATCCATTAGCTGGAACCAAGCGCAAAACAGTAGCTTCAAAAGAAGAGCAAACTAAACATTGAGGAATGACACGTCTCTGATTGAATTCAACCAAAAATTTGTTTTCAGTGTCAGAATTGAGCTCACAGCCCTTTTGCACAAAAATCCATTCTGGATTTTCCTTCAAGAATTCTTCATTTCAACAGCCCCCCCCCCTTTATTTTTTTTTGGTGGGGGGAGGAGATAGCTGTTGCTATGGTTAAACAGCTGTGAGACAGAATGTTCCTGATCTACTGCAAATCACCCAAAAATCCACCAGTCGATCGCAACCTAGTTGTCAGGGCTAGGGCATCCACTGCTGCCGAGCCTTTGTAAAGGAAATGGTCGGTTGGTCAAAGGAATGGCGGGTAGCACTTCATTAACAGGCCTGTGTCGACAAAACCTTGAATCCATGCTGAGGTGTTACATAGCAGGTGCCCTCCCCCAACTTATTTAAAATTTTATTTTGAACAGAACAGTCATAGGGGGCTACTTCCCTCAAATTTGCAATGATAGAGTTGTGAGGAGAGGGACTACTTAAACTTTTTTTTTCTTGTGGATGTTCTTATTTCTTCAAAATTACATGCATACCCTAGCTCAGTGCTGGGGAACATGTGACTCTCTTGAGATTGCTGGATCCCACTTCCTATCAGAATCCTGGTTGGGAGTTGAAATACAAAACATCTGGAGGGAGCCAAAGTGGTAAAAGAAGAGCACCCCCTATGCTAGAGGTTTTACAGATCTCTTCCAAATTAAGGTCTTTGGAACCTCCTAAATCAGGCCTATTCAAGCTGTGAGCCACCAAATCCAGTGCACAAAAAGGAGAGAGTGTGGTCAGCCCAAGTTAGTGGGTTACAAGCACAGGCCTGGCCAAGGCATTTAAGACATGTTCAAAGTCTGTGTCAGCATCTGGGCCATGGGCAGCTGACTAACCAACACAGGCACCAGGGCCTAAGGCAGGTAGGCTAGAGTCCAAAGTCCAATCCCAAACAAATCCACATCTTTACCCAACAGTTCAAGGTCAGCACCAGGAGTAGAAGAGCAAGGTAAATCTGGTCCAAGAGGCAAAGGCATAGTCAAGCCACCCAGGAATCAGAAACCAAGGAAGCAATGCAAACAGGAGCAGGTACCTGAGGGCTGGAGCAGGAACACAAGCAAAAGCAGGGGCCAGTAAATAGGGCAAGTCTAGGAACAAGAGCAGCATCGAGAGCAGGGCCCAGGAACAGGGAGGGAAGAGCCAGTTCTTATATAACAGTCCCCCCAGGGCTCCCAGGTGATGCTCATGAGGGCCCTGGTAAGCTGCAGTAGAGGGCTGTTCTTCTGGTGCTCGACCAGCAGGTGGAACCCTGAAGCTGCCTCGGAACCTGAAACTCTGCTTCTTAGAACCAGTCAGCCTGGCCATTGGTGAAGGACAACGGGGGCAGTAGTGCATCAACATCTCTAGGCCCATGGATCCCCTAACCCTCCCCTAGGTGCTTTTCCACTTTCCAGGGAAAAGCTAGGGGCACCTATACCTTTCCCTTCATAAGTGGAAGGGAGAATGAATGCAAAAATGGGTAGAAGGGGAAATATTTTGCAGCATCTTCCCTCTACCACTCTCAATTGCTAAATTGGGCTATAGGCTGCAGTATATAAGTTTTAATAAACAAACAAACAAACTAGAATTGATACTACTAACATCAACCCTCTTTGTTGCTTTTCATTAAAAAGTATCTCAGCCTCACAAAGACTATGAATGCTTCCAGGAAGGGAGCTGCTAGCACAGCCAGTCAAAAGGCACTGTGCAGGTTTTTGTTTTCATTTTAAGGGATTTTGTGGGGAAGGAAAGAAGAATGGAAGAATGAAATGGAATTAGGTGACATCTGGACACACACACCCCCTGAAATTCTGTGAAGGAGGCAGGGCAATTGCATTGCCTAGAAGCTTCCTTTCAAACATGTCTGCCATATAACCTCTGGCTAGAATAAATTATGCAAATACAGCAATCCAATTAAACCCATAACATTTATGCAGATTTTGCTCTGCTCCATTCTGAACCTTCTGTGGACTTTGAAATCATTAGCAAAGCATGTTGAGAGTGGAACAAAGAAGAATAGAGGTAACAGATGGGCAGTTGGAGTGTGTGGGGGAGGAAGGAATATGACCGCTCCTGTTGCACGGATTGATTGCACTGCTTGAACGTTTTCCAGATATTTCTGTACCATTGTGACAAATAGAAACCTGCTCTTAAAAATCTCATGCAGAGAAAAACACCCTCAGGCATTCTATTTCTGCAGCAGAGATCAGAATCTACTGTCCTCCAGATGGATTGGATCACAACTCCCAGAATTATTGAGCCCTGGTCATGCTGAGTAAAGTTGATGGGAAATGAAGTTCTAAACATTTTAAAGGCAGCAGGTTGGGGAACATTGATCCAAGCCACTTGTTCAGATAAACAGTTTATTTAAAACAAATTAATAGAGGAGGGCTTATTAAAGGTATACTTTTCTCAGGATAAAACTGTAAAAGGATCAATGCACCGTCATGCCAAATGAAACCTGTCCATATATACTGGCATTGTTTCATTTAAATGTTTAGTGAGAATTTCTGCAAGGTTTCTCAGTTCTCATGCAAGAATTGTTATTGCAAAGGAGAAAAGCTGCTCAAAATATCCTGCGTTCTGCTTCCTCCTTTGCAGATCACTGGCTGTATATTGTTGTTGTCATAGCAATTGCTGGTGCCACCATGTTAGTCCTGGGAGGAATGGCTGGGGTCATTTACTACCTCAAGTCCACAGCCTGCAAAAAAGGAGAATACAATGTGCGTGATGCAGAGAACTCTACTGAAGCCACTTGCCTCAACCGGGAGAGGCCCTGTGATGGTGACATCTACGGTATACAGCTCACCAGGACCTGAACAAGGCTGGGCAGGTACCTCTCGGCTTTGGCATGCCAGGCAGAGAGGGAAAGGCAGAAGAAAACTTCCTGTACAGCCCTCCTACTTCTGCCACCATTTCTGCCTCTGAAGGAAGTGTGTCTGAACCATACAGGCCTCTGCTTCACTGTGGAACTGATTAACAGCCAGTGGAAGGGCACATGGTTGAGTGTTGCCAGGATGGAAGGCCAATTCTAGTGCCCATGGCTTTGGGTACCAGTCAGGCGCTTACTTGGCAGAACACGTCCCCATGCAACCAGCCTTCCTCTGCCCCACTTCACCTGGGCTCTCTGTAGCTTCTGCAGCTAGAAATGGAACCCTTGGAAAAGTTTTATCTCAGCAACTCAACTGTTGTTCTTATTTGGGATCATCTATGCCTTTTCACATGGGGTATAATGATTGCAGTTTTGCTCATTCTGGAGAGTTATAGTTTACTGGTGTCTTGCCAAAATGGGAAGTATTACCTTGGGATTACAGATCTTCACATATGGAGCTGGACTTCATGCTTTCTAAGATACGGCAAAGATTGTAATTTTTTAAAGAACCAAGAACCTTAAAAGCACATTGAATACATACATGCAATTATGAACTGAAGAGAGAGTTACTCTGAGAATTAATGTAACTGGATTAAGATATCAAGGACACATACTTAATCCAGATTAATGTAATTTTGTTTTAGCTCAGTGAAACTATTTGGTAAATCAAATCAAAACAAAACAAAATTCTCTACTCCCTGAGACAAGATAGAATAAGGAGAATCAAGTCACATCAAGTGAATTCTGGGAGTTCATGCCCTTCATTAATTGTGTTTGATTGGTTCAGCTGTGTGATTCAAGAGCTGAGCAGCATCCTGATGTCAGCTTCATCTCTCCACCTTTATACCTAGACATGACCAAGGAAGTGGCCATGTATGTTGTAATTGTGCCAAAACCTCATGATAAATGCAAGCATGGATAAGAAATCACATATTTTAAAAGGACTGGAAGGAAGTAAGTTTGAGGGTTTGAGGGACTAGTCTGGCAGAGGAACTTCAACTCAAGGGGTCAAATTCACCCTGTGGGTTTTCCAGAGGGGCACACTCTGTTCTCTGCCCTCACTGCCTTTCCCCAACCACCAGCTGTTTGGTAATTTCCTAGCTTTTGTGTCGCTTTTTCCTCATTCTAAAATGTTGAAATGTCTCTTCTCAGGCTTGGTTATGGGCAATAAGATCTTATTATACGAAATACATCTACAACATACTGGGCTTCAAAAAAAAAATGTCTCTACCTTTTCAGCTTTGGCCGCACTGGAATGGGGTGCCAAGAACTCCCGCAATAATGAACTTGGCCCTTGGGCTGAAATAGTCCCAGTCGTTGCACTAATGGAATCACTGCTGAGTAGATGCATGTTCTTGGGGTCCATTCTCTACTGTTCTCTGTAAATCAGACTCTCTAAACTGGTGTCCTCCAGAGGTGTTACACTACAACTCCCATCATTCATGATCACTGGGAATTATGTGAATTATAGCCTAACACATCTGAAAGCACCAGATTGAGGGAGACTGATTTATATATTATGAACCCCCAAAGGGCAGCTATATAAATGAAGCATGAGAAAACAACCGGTCCCCACCCTGCTGTTTTCACATTATAGCAGTCATTCTTAAATGGATGATGGCTTCACAGGATGGTCTGTTCAGTAATCTGTAACTCCAAAGCATGAGGTCATGGTTTGTGATAAATTAAGTTCACTGGAACCTCTAGGGATGCAAATCTGCCATTTAACCATTCCTGAAGTAATGGTTGCATACTCATTGTTGTGGCCCACTCTCCCAAGGAGATTACAGGTACAGGAATGTGGTCATGGAAAAAAAGGGATGGCTTAATTGTAAGTGATGTTGCAAGATCAGCCAATTGTGCACTTACAGAACGTAACAGAGTTCGACTGTGCATTCTGCAGCCTGAGCTTTTGAATGGGGAAGACAGTGTTCTGCCATGAACATTCAAGCCCATTTTGCAGAAATCACACATCTCTGTACTTTTAAAGAACTCCCATTAATTTCAAGGGGACTTCTAAAGAAACCTGATATGCAGCAACCTTACTAACTGCTAAGCAGGCCCTGAGGAAAGGTGGGAAGAAAAGCAATACTGTCAGGTGTAGGGTGCTTATAGTGAGCAGCTCACTGCTGAAGTGCTGACACATCTGCCTAGAGGTGACCAACGCGGAAGTTTGTGTGGGCCCACAGCTTTGAAAATGAGACCTCACATCTGGGCAGCAGCCATGTTTTCTATGGACATGCCCATCATGTTTCTGCATAAAGGCAGGTGTGTGGATGAGGACAGCAAAATCCTCCCTCATTTCAACAGTCACAGAACATAACTGCCACCCCCCATGTTCCATCAGGCAGACCTCTCTCCTGCCACCCACTTGAGCTCTGATCCTGGAAGTGAGGAGCGACAAGGGTTTGGTGTGGCCTGGCAGGCCCGGGAAAGGATGGGCGGCTCAGCTCTCCTCACATTCAGGCCCCCTTCTGCTGTGAACAGCACCAACAACACAGGGAACACAAACCTAGATGATGCCGCCATGTCTAGGGTACCATTATCAGCAGCTTGATCAGTTCTCTTGATCAGTGTTGAGAGGGATGGTTTAACTCAGTGTCCTGCACCAAGCAGGGGGTTAGACGCTTTCTGATGGCCTTCAGACCCCTTCCCACTCCATGATTCTATGATTCTGCGGGAGGCAAAGGAAACAGGATAAAGTGAATACCCCAGTTCAGCTGGCAGGTACCTTCTTTATCTGCAGGTGCCAGCCCAGCTCCTGCTGTGCCAGATTGCTCCTGCAGTCCCCAGGGCCAGCCTGACATTATGCCACCTGAGTAAAAGGACAAGATGGCATCCTCTACACACACTCTCCTTCTCTCTCCCTCCATACTGAAGCTAGCCAGGTTAGCAGTTACACAACATCCTTCACTACGCCCCAAAAGCAACAAGTAGGAGCAATTTTCTGGCTCCTACTTCTTGCCTGCCAGCTTAGGGTAACACCTGATATAATAGAGCAAGAGAGCTTGCCATGCTGCAAGGAAGGGAGCCTCCAGTGTTGCTGCTGAAAGGACAGACATGCAAAGCAGAGACTCAGATATGGATAGCTTTGCCAACAGCTGGCTGGCCCTTTTTAATGTTGAAAGGACATACCATGTGAGTGACCATGCATTTAAATGCACTTTTAGCTATTCATTCCCTTATGTGTGTGTTCTAAGGAAGCATTTGGGTGCAACTCTGTTCTGAAGATGTTTCTCAGGGCCTTCACATACACAGTTTCCACAGCAGACCTGTAGAGTCATTTTTCCAAACTGGATCTGGAGAGGACTGAGTAAGTTTGAGACAGGGGATATGAGATACGAGAGGAATAGATATGTTGGACTGAATACTTTGGGATGTTTCAAGAGCACTCCCATCAGCTTATATATATTAGGAGTGGGCAGTCTCAGGCTTGGGGTCCCAGTTTAGCAGTCCAGTCCTCCACTGTATGCTGGATGACCATGCCTCCTTCCTCTGGCCAACCTGCTTTTTCCTGACCACTGAACATTTGCTGATTTCCTAGCTGATGTGCAGTTTTTTCCCATACTAAAATGACAAACTGTCTCCAAGGCTTAGTTACTGGTAGTAAGAACTCTGAGCTACAATGCAGTGCCTTTTTGTGGTTTTGGGCCAGACACTTTGCTGTTGGCTTTGGCCCTTTGTCTTCTGCCCTGCTTACCACTGGAAGGCAAGAACACATCTGTTGACACTTTGTGGTCAAGATAGCCAAACTGAACTGTTAAGCATGGCAGCATTGCACCTCCGAACAGCAAATGCTGGGACAAACTGCAGCCTTTATGCTCTGTCGAGGCACTTGGTTAGCTACTGTTTGGAAGAAAGAATATAAGCTTATATTGACTTTAGTCTGATCTAGCATGATAATTTCGTATCGTCTTAATGCTGTTAAAGATGTGGCACATTTGCAGGAAAGAGAGTTCTGCTGGCAGCGGCATTATCTCACTCAGAAGCAGTGGCAGATGCGTCTGCCCCCCTCATCCCAAAGTGATAGTCAGCCAACCGCTCATTGTCAGCTCATAAATTGTAGGTTGCAGTGCAGCTTCATACCTGAAAAGACAGTCTCTTTGGCAAGGAGACTGCAGACTGATGCTAACATAAAAAGCAACCCAGGCAGGTGGTAAATCCTATTCAAGAAGACTGACCTAGAAACAAAGGGTTGTTATATTCTCCCTTGCAGCAATGCAGAAGAGGCCATTCTTCTACATTGCTGAAACACTCATGGCAAATCTTAAGTGAGGAAAATAGTCCTAGTCTAACCATTCCCAACCTGAGGCCCTTCGGCTGCATTGGCTGGCAACTCTTATCCTTCCCTGGCTATCAGTTTGGAGAAGGCTGTCCTTGAATAGTGTGATGTAGCTTCCTGTGGACGTTTCTGGGTGCATTTCTTTAAATGCCGTTTTACATCCTCACTTTGTGGGCTATTCAGTTCATTCAGTCAGAGTCCCAACCGTAACAGTATATGAAGTCAGAGAGATGGTTTCTGATATGATAAGCATTTGATTACATGAAAGGCTTTTAATAACCTTGCTGAATATCATGACAAGATTTTCTTTTATCCAATGCATTTCTTATTATAATTGAAGATTATTTTAGGCAAGGGTTATTGATGAGCAATTTGAAAACACTTCTGCACTTGACTCATTTACCAGGGCACCAGAAACTACCCCTTGTGAGAATGCCTGATATTGCTTCCATAATATGATCAGTCTCTGGTGATCTTCAATCACTTGGCATAGTAGGGCTTTCCTCATTTCCGGACCATGTGCAGTGGGCTTGCTTGCAAGGAACAAAACATGCTAATTGACCATGCATAAGTCCACCCTTCTTTCCAATTTCTGTCACAACCTTTCCTGTAGTAGTCTAAGGCAGCCTTCCTCATCCTGGGCCCTATTTTGTACTTCAGCTCTCAGCACGGTCAATCATTTCCCATGCTGGCTGGGGCTGATAGGCACCAGGTTGGGGGAACAGAATGTGAGAGTTCTAGCACAGGAAAACATTGAGGCAACATCAGACTCCCACATCTTGCAAACATCCTACTGCCCTTCTCCATACAGAACTGAGAGAGTGGGCTCCAGTTCCACCCCAGTGCGAGCAGAGGGTAGGAGGTTTGGGCAAACTGAGACAGGCAGAACTTCCTATGCTGGAGGCCTTCAAGGAGCATAGCAGGCACCTCCTCCTAATGAGAATTGTTGGTTCCTCTGAAACTAGGCCTCTTTAAGTTGTGATGCACTAAACGCAGCACACAGTCTGTTTTTCAACCTTGGGGTAGCACCAGAAGCCCAAAATACGCTTAGGGCCTGATAGTGGGCTACATTTAAGTGCAGGATTTGCAAGCACAGACCTGCTCAAAATAAATGTTTTGAACCCAATCAGACAGATTTCTGATTTTTTGTTACAACAAACCTAGTAGCATAGAAGCATCCCAGGGAAGAGCAGGTACTGGCTTTTCCATGACACTCTTTAGCTGAATGTGAGAAATCCACCAGGAATATTTCTGCTGGTCTATGCCAGGTTTGTGAACAGACAGGGAGAAACATATATGGATGATACTGAGAACATCTCAGACCCAGGTTAATTAGCCCCATAAGTAGCAGTCTTGAGATGGCTTTAATCCGAAGGATCAAAAGGACAACCTTAGTAGCCCTAATCTTTTAAGTGAAAATGTTTGGTGAATGAGGTCTGGTATGAAGGGGCAAGACTGGAAGGTTCTCTTGCCTAGGATGGTACTTATTGTACTGAGGAAGGGTGTCTGGGGTCTGCCAAATGATTTTGAACTCCTGATCCCTTCAGCCCCAGCCTGCACAGCCAGCGGCCAGGAATGGTGGACGTTATAGTCTAGTACAGTGGTGGCGAACCTATGCCACACATGCCACAGTGGGCACGCAGAGTCCTCTCTGTTGGCAAGCGAGCCAAGTCACTCCAGCATCGCCCCAGCAGCTGAGCATCAGATAATAGTGTACACAGGGGCCATGCTCATGCTCTGAAAGGAGTAGTGGCACCAGGTGATGATGTCACGAGCTGTGACTCATTAGCCGCGACTTGTCCGAGCTTTCACATGGCTGGT